GGAGAGAGGGGGAACAGAGAGGTGGGAGAGAGAGACAGACAGAGAGACAGACAGAGAGAGAGAGAGAGAGAGAGAGAGAGAGAGAGAGAGAGAGAGAGAGAGAGAGAGAGAGAGTGTGTATACAATGCATGTTTGTGTTTCTGAGTGAGTGTAATGTATTTGTAGACCTACGACCAGAAATACAGACGTATAAACAAACACTAACAAACAAACGATCAGACATAGTATACACACTCATATACCCATTAGACCTATAAATCATTCATGGCATATATACCCATTATATTAGTGTATAATATGCTGTTGTGTATATCATTATTTTATGACCTATGTGTCTCTCTCTCTCTCTTTCTCTCCTCAGATTGTTGTTAACCTTATCTCTCCACCAATCATCCGCCAAATTCTGTTACAATTTGGCTGGTTTTGGCTCTTTTTCAGCATCGCTGCTGTCAACGTAATAGGTAAGAAAAGTTGCGAAATGCAGCTTATATTAAGTTCCTAATCCTTAATGTTGCCATCCGTGATCATAATTTGAATGTGAGGCAGCCTGGTGAAATCAGGCACTCGTCAAAATTTTGAAGTCAAGAAATTGGCATTTTTCGGTTTGGGAAGTTTTTTTTTGGTTTTTGGCTCAGCGTCATTCATGCCCATCAAAAAACTCATTTCTCAATTGATTTTTACTGAAAACCGTTGATTAAAGGCAGAAAAGATATACATTTTTAGTTTTCACGGACTCTCAAGCTGCGAAAATAACTCAACTTTGGTGGCCATTTTCTTGCTAATTCTGTCCCCGTAGAATTATGCAAATTGAGATGGCCAAATTATGCCCAAAAAAAAAGCCGAATTATGCACCATTCGCGACATGTTTTGCACTTTTCTACACAAATTTTCCTGATTTTCATGTTTTATGTACAGACATTTTTTTTAACTGAACATAATTATCAGTATCAGTAATTTGTTGTGTATTTAGAAAGAAAACATTACAAATCAGTAAGAAAAAAAAACAACCAAAAAATATAATCTCTGTAACTTTCAGCTGTAGATATCTAGATCTAGATCTAGATCTATAGAGGAAAGAAAAATGTAAAAGGAAAAAAAAGGACATCTGGACCTCTGATGCTGGCACATTACTAAAACCAAGGACACCAGTCAAACATGAATCATCAGCAGACTTGAGAACAACAACTTTTGATGGATTGAAAAATTGAACATGCTCAAGGAACCCAAAACCAAGATCTTCTAACAAGGGAAATAACCGACTTTTCAATTAAATGAGACTTATATTATGGTGATTATTTCCCTTTAGTCACATGGCGAGGTGTTAATTAATTGTTTTGTGAAAAAAGGAAGAAAACGTGAAATAACGCAGGGAATCCCAAGTTATGCAAATGTTGCAGAATTACGGGAAAAACGCGGCCGCACGATCGCATAATTGTAAGGGGACAGCTTATTTTACCTCTGAAGCAAGGCGACCCTCACCTCCTTCAATCGCCAATATCTCGACTTGTTTCCAATATAAATTGTGAGGCAACGTGATAGAATCAGGCTCTCGTCAATTTTGGGGCATGTAGAGTTATTGATATCATCTTGAAGCTTGTTCACTTGTCTTTGTTTAGATGAAACAAATATCCATTTATCTTGAATACAAGTCGAGATATTTGCAAATGAAGGAGGTGGGGATCACCTGTTTTCAGAGGTAAAATTAGTGAGAAAATGGTCGCCAAAGATTAGTTATTTCCTTAGCTTAAGAGTCCG